TATTCGCTTGCTCTCTTGGATATTTCTTCTGGAACAAAGAACACTTTTAAGCCGCACTATCTCTTGTAAAAATAAAGAAACGCCTCCGAGAAAAAAAGCTGTTTTCACTTATCCTGCGGTCATTTCGTTGAAAAAGCCCAGTGATTTCAATCGTCCCCCATCGACATTATTCCGAATTCCAGAATACTTAGTTTTATCTGAGATGCATCGGCGAGGATTTCAGCAGGATGACGGTCAGCTTAGGCCTTCGGGCTTTTATCCTTTGGAATGACCCAACTAAGAGGATTACGCCGCCTCCTTCGCGTTTCGGATACTCTGCTGTATTGCGGGGTGGGGCGTCGTTTTACTCAAAAGGGAGTGCTTGCGGAAATGGGGAGAGATACCTGGACTCTCAGAAGTTCGGTATAGATTCGAAACTTTGAGGGTTTCAATTGTTATCGAGGTTTCTGATAGATTCCTTTCACTACTGGGTTCATTAAGAAGATTTGAATTAGTTTCTGGTGATGAATTCATAATTGAGAATCAATATATAAAGGTTTGGAGTAGTTCATTTCAACTCGGCCGTTGACCAGGAAAGTATATCAGTCAGTCAAACAAATCGTCCTGTCACATGTCAGGTTACGTAATAATTTTTTATTATATTCATAAAAGTATTGTAATAATTTACCTCAAAATTGTTCATAAAAACAATGAAACCATTTTTAGAATCAGAAGTACGTACTACTCATAGTAAAAACTGCCAATTTCTTCAAAAATACTCGATTGCACATGTAGAAATTGTAATTTCAGTTTATTTCCTATTGAAAAATTATTTATAGAGCGACATACATTCCAAGAGATTGATAATAACTTGGGGATGATTAATTGAAATTGATGATGGTTCCTCTGTGATATTCATATCGAACAAATGAGATTTTTAATATACCTCCCACATGCAGCGCTAGACAAATTCTTCTCTATTATCAGACGTTTGTAATGCGTTCGGATGAACCCTGTCTGCCCAGGAATATTAATAGCTACATTTTTGTTCGTATCCTGTATTATTATCTACCATGACTGATTAGCTCTTGAAGTGAACTTCCTTCAGGTGTTTTTTTTTGGGTGGTAACTGATGATTAGTCTCTGGAAGGAAATTAGTTGAGAGTAATGTTACGAACAAAAGAAATGAATATAATATAATGCATGTGATGAGTTGCATATGACGGTTTTTGGATTGATTTATTTTATTCACAGATTCGAACAAATTACATTTTGTCTTTTACACTATTTTTTTCTACTCAATATTCATGGTGTGTATCATTAGACTGAGTAATTGAGTATGAAGTGGTAATGAAAGCATATAGAAAATAGAACGTATCATTCAGAAAAAATAAAAAGAGATAATTCATACAATAAATCAGTTAACAAAAAGTACGGACATAGGACAATAAATAATTGAAAGTATTTTTAATAATACCTTTCCATATATGTATGGGTTCAGCGATGACCGTTTGAAAATACTCCAAAATTCTTTAATTTCTGTTACATTAAATAAATGGCATAGTGGTCCAGCGTAAGTTTTTGAGTTGAATGAGATAGCGCTCTCTTTTCAATATAGTCTAGTCTATAGACATATTATTTTTGTGGTTTCTGATGAAAAAATTTCAATCTTTTCGATGACATATTACCAAAAATTATATATATATTCATTCAAATAATATTTCTTATTTTCATAACGTCCTGATTATCATTCTACACATAAACTTTTCTGTTCTCTTTGCTGTAACAATCGCCGTTACAAAAAATATATATCCATTCTGAAAATACCAGTGGAATAGTGCAGATTCTTCTGTAAAAGCATTTCCAGCTCGAACATTGTTGAGGTTAAGAAATTTATGTTGCGGTGCCTTTGTATTCAGGCATTTTTATGACGTCACTGCGAAACAATTATGTGATACTCTCGTAGAATAAATACCATAAGAATGATGGGCACGTTCACCATTTACGCGAAATGTTATAGGTTATGTTGTCCTGAGAGGTTGTCTGTGAAATAATATATCATCTGTATCATTTGGTGATTCATAAAAAGAATCAGACTTGTATTCCTTTTATTCCATCTCAATTTTTGTTTAAATCCTCCATGAAACGAAACCAATTTGTATTGAACATTCCATAAATTGAAACGGTGCATAAGATATTGAAAAAGTTCCCAATTCTTTTCACCGAGTAAGAGGAAATATTCGTTTCATTATACAAATCGCTATTGGAGCTCTATGGTAATATTTTTGATCTGGGCTTCGAAGTTTTTATTGATTTGGAAGTTTCAAGTTACCGATCAAACCGAAATTGAAAGAATAAATTCAATTTTTCCATTGACTGAAACGGTCTTTCTAGTTCTAAAGAGACTCGGTCTAGAGTCGATCACTTCTTTGCCATTTCAATAATCTACATGATACGTAATCTACTTTGTAACAGACATCGGCGTCCCGCAAAGATTGTTCGCGCGGTGTTTGGAAATCAAACTCGTGTTCGAAATGAAATAAGTATCGCATCCCACCTCTGACACCGCTGTGTATGTGGTGATTGAATTTGGAAACTACAGTTTCAATAATGAACATAGTTTGCATTGTTTTCCATTTCAAAAACTCAATAAAATCTAATTGATTGTATATTATGATACATCTATATCTAGTTACCTTGAATATCTAATTTTTCTCGATGTTACGAAGAAATGTTCAGTGAGAAAAATTAAATCAAGTGTCGGCATTTTTTGAATCACTCATTTCAGTAATTCCGAAAGGTTTCGCGTCCTGCCATCCATGTTGTGAAGAAAAACAATTTTCATTTCGTTATTTTCCACCTACGCTCGCGCCGCCGAGTTTACCGAGTCTCCTAGAGTTTCCTAAAGACTTTCAAAAGAATCAATCAAATGCGATTCTAATTTGAGCCGCTTCGCTTAGACGTTATCAGTTTTTCCGGGTGAGCAAGTCCCCTGAATGGGGGCGACACTGCGAGTTTCTATTGAAAACTCCTTCCTAATAAATCTCTCCTTTCTGGAAACGGATGATATTCACTTCTCTGCGCCCGACAATAGAAATACTATATCAAAATCTTGGATGGTGTAGTTCTTTTTATTCCGCTAATCTTACTGATATTGGATTTTCTCTGAGGATTCACTGTCGTCGGGATGTACGGTCGAAGTGATTTTCTTTTTTCACTTACCGAACACGTTTCAATTAGGAAGTGAATGAATACTTTGATTGGAACCCGCAGACTGAAAAGTCTCTCAAAGGAATCATCTCAAAAGTAATTATAATTATTTCAGATGAAACAAAAATTTTTTTATCTTCTCTTTATAAAAATACTATTTTGGTAAATAAAGTAAGGTAAGGAAAGAAATGTCTTGAATTATCATGATTGTTGGAATTGTTTTTTCACTAAATAAAATTCAAAACTGCTGACATGCTTGAAGATTTTTTTAACCTTGGTGGATGAGATTACACGGTACTCCCAGACCAATCTCGATGATTTTTTTGGGTTATCAGTACCCCAGCCTGGCTATCTGTGAAAATCTTGACCCACTTATTTCGTTGAGACCTCAAATTACTGTTTCTTGTTTTTCCACAAAACTATTCTTTCTGCAGAATCAATCACAAGAAAACAACCACATGAACATTGATACAATGGTGGATACGTTTCAATCTTCGTCAAGATTTTCTTTCAGTTACGTCGTTGTCGATTGAATATTGTAGAAATAATTCTGAAATAAACTATCAAATCAGCAATATTTACTGAAAATTGAGGTGTGATTTCTGGAATACGAATCAGGTTGGTAGCGAAGTAGGTGGAAAGTAAGCCATTATTTAACATCTCGTTCTAGTTACTAAAATAGAAGCAAAAATCAAATGGCTACCGATCCACTGACGTATCATTCATCATATAAATGAGCTGAACGGAAGTTCGAATAAATTAATTAACGATTCCTACGAAGCCTAATTAACCATAATTACGCAAGTCTGAAAGCCTTTTCGAATTAATAAAAGACGACGGCAGTGGAAAATCGAGTAAAAATACTTGAAAGTTGTGACGATGCCTCAAAGAAGCTTTTTGATGCCGTTTTAAATCTGACTTAAACATTAATGCGACTTGCTATCTCCCTATTTATCCGCTGAATAAATCACTCTCCGGCCCGGTTTGCTGAAAAGACACTCGATTAAAGCCGTTCAGGGGATACATACAGGGCGAGGCTGTGAACTTGTGTATTTTTTTGACATATTCTTCATTGGTGACTAATAGTTTCGTTTCCGAAGATTCAACCACGTTTTTTCACAATTTCATGCTGCGTATCTCCAAACACTTCACAATTAGAATAAATAGGTGAAATATCAATTATACAGTGAGGACGTAAAAAGTCCTCCCCCCCTCCCTTAACTTTTGAACGGAATAAATTATCGAGGTCATGTGAAATTCAGGTAAAAAGTACTAATCTTACTACCTTTTTACCTGAATTTCACCCGACCTCGATAGATTGTTCGTGCACGTAAAACGTGCAATGAAACTACAATAAAACGAATAAAATGAAATAATCAAGATGAAAAATGAAAATTACCACAGAGTACAAATAAATAAAAAGAATACAAATAAAAATGAGTAAAAAATTAAAAATATAAATATTAATGAAAATTGAAAAAGATTTCAAACGACATTTCGACATATCCACAATCTGCCTCAGATCGGAAAGACCATCTGCTTAAGAACCAACATTTGAAAACAACAGGAATTCGACCATAATTTTCGTCAATATACAGGCCATTACTGAATTCAAGTATACTGTTGAAGTTTATGATCTTACGCCCGGAATCTTCAGAAGTTCCTAACTCCCTGACTATCGAAAAAATATATCACAGATATTCTGCGAATGGTAGCATACGACTCCATATTTCCAAAATAGTTTTTATTTACCAAGTTTACTTTTTCTGTAATCAAAGAACGTTCTATGATGAATCAATGTTTTGTTTCAGAGCTACTTAGAGAACCGAATAAGCGAACTCGAATCAACGCTGGAGACTGCCCAGAAGAACGAACTGAGGGACAAGCAAACGATCAACAAACTCACCAAACAACTTAATAGGGTAAGTGGATGTATAAATAATCCGGGATTGATGAAGACGCGATACCGTACCGGTTTCTTAAGTAGGCTTTCGAATAAGGTTCCCTTTTTTTTACTGACATATATCAGCGATGTCTCATCTCGGGACGAGTTTTTTGCAGCATAAAATTCGGCCGTCGCCGAAGACACCCATAAAGCTACAAAGTTTTGAGAAGAAGTAGCTTTCTACGTGTTTCTTTTTTGAATAATTTAGTCGGGTCCGGATTTCGTGTGATCGTCGGAATAGGTTGGACCCTTGTCTCGCGAATATATTCTGGCGACATGTTGGTTATTTTATGCAGATGATAATCTCTGTGGAAGGCTCGAGACAGAAAAAGTGAGGTCGTCTTCAGGTGAGGTTTTTGTTCAAATAACCTGAACTTTGTCACCGATTGTTTTGAATCGATTCGCTTATCAATTCTTTCTCAATAATGTTTTATAGCGGATAATTCCGCAAAATATCAAAATATGTTAATGAAATACTTGACATTCAATTCTGATTTGTACTACAAAAATATGACCATGTTCTTTCTTATGTTTTAGGTATGCGAGATTCATAGTATTTATCATTTCTGTACCGCGTTTTCTAACACCCGTGTTTCCAAACACCAACTGGTTAGCCCCACAACAATATTGGCTATCACTGCAGTTCAATTTGTTCGTTCTTATCAGTACATTGTGTATGTCATTGCCATATATCAGTGTGCTTTTGTTCGCAAAAGCTATTTTGCTATTGAATATCGTGGCCTCTTTTTCAAATTTGAGAGATGCTATTCATATTCACATGTTTCTTTCTTGATATAATACTGCCGTATAATTGTTTTTCAGTGTTTTAGTGAGCGTTCTTTTTATTTCAGATAATGTAAATTTTTTCAAAAATTATATTTTCTCAATTTGAATAGTTTCTTAGTCGTCCTTCTCAATAAATCATTCGATTTTGTTATAAGTATTATTCTTTTTTTTTTTTGGAAAAACTATTTTGATATTTATGATCATATCCGAGATACTGAAAAAATATAGCTTTTGCGTTTTCTATGTTGATATTATAAAGAGAAAGCATTCGATTTTTGATATGATTGTCTCAAAAATGTAAAACCTTTCCATTTTCCGGTTTTGTAGGAAATCAATTAGTTTCGAGACTAGAACTGGTTTAGTAAAATTTAAAGTTGTTATCCTCGGTCGGTCTGTAGCCGGTCGGTTAGACGTGGGTCCTTTGTTCACTCTCTCAATCGACCGTTGTGTGAGTCGGCGGTTCAAGCCGCAGGCCGGACGACCGATTTTCACTTGCTATCGTCCAACCCGTGTTAGGAATCACATGTTGAAAGGTAAGACATCGTTAGTCCTTAGCTTACACAGGCTCCGACTTCTGAGGGTTTTCGTTCGTAGGGGTGCGACAACTGGTTGACGGAAAAACATATATTTTTTATTGGCTTGACCAAATTCCCTGCTCATAACAGCAGATGAACAGACAGGCTGACGACAGAGTTCTTCAAAAAATTTCATTATCGATCATTTCCTCCAAATGAGGAAACTCTTAGCTCTCCCGCCGACTTCGGTCATTCCCTCCCGACATCAATCAGACTGTCGTGTTTACGAATTCGCAAGTCAATTAAATCCGTAACGTCTGGCGAACTTTGAATACAATACTGCCGAGGTTACGACCCGCGTGTTATGCAGAGTATATCTAAGCTCAGTTGGTGCACATTTCGAAGGTACAAAGGGCCTTGTGTTCACCGCAGAATCTCGAGCGAGAACTGCCAAGAGAATTATTCGGGCGGTGAAAGGCTGACAGACAGACATACAGACATCGGCAATGGAGAATGGGAAACGCATTAGTACAGTGCGATGTCATTTTGTGGTTTTTCTGGCGCTTGTTCCGTGATAACGAAGGTTTTGAATTGAGAAGGGCCAGAAAATGATTGAGTGTTCTCTAGACTCTTCTTACTCGGTTGTCCTTTTAAGAAATACTATAAGTATATTTCATATTGTATAGTGATCGAATCAGACCAGGTACAGATTGCTTCTCGAATTGATATTTCATTGAAATTTTCTAAATGAGCTTTATTCTCAATTCTCATCAAGTATTGTTGATTAAGTGAACATCTTTTTGAATAACAGAATGCAGAAAGGTTGTGTTAAAAGCTAAGATTTCGAACTGATCAACATGTTCAGAGTTGGGCAGGCATACTTCATGATTCTATTTTGGGCCTTCTTTCTTTTCAGATATATGAGTATTGGGGTATCGTCACAAATGCAAGTTAACGATTCACACAGTTTCTCAGTGTGAAAATCGAGTCCTCGTTGTTATTTCAGCTATACTGTTGCTTAGAACACGAAAAATGTATAGCATTCAAGTACTTATAGGGTCTAATATTGTAAAACTTTGTTATTGAACAATTCATCGCATATTGATGGTCGTAGTTGGGTGCAATGATTATTTATCAAAAATGCCCACATCACAAAATTATTTCATGACTACCCTCTCAAGAAACTGGATTACAAATGTGTATTTAAGAAATATCTCTTGAGAATAACTTGTTGATTCAGCAATATCTTTGATAAATCGACTTCGCCATGAGTTAAGGACTGGACTGTTTGAAAATTATTCAAATACATGAAACTCATTCTATTCAATCGAAAAATCAATTTTCGCAATTTTCAGTATATGCAGTATTTTACATTCTAAAACAGCTGAATTGCATACCACTGATTTCATTCAGTATCGAACAACTTAGAGAGACTTTCAAACTCGATAATTAAAGGATTATTTATGAAATGGTTACGGTCGATATCAAACATTCTAGTCGTTTATCAGTGGGAGACCAATTTAAACACCAAAAACGAACTCTCACATGCTAATATCCAATAAACTTCGTCTCCTTTTGCTCGTAGCGCATTTGTGAGGGCATCCACTATATATTATTCATGGTAAGAAGAATTTTCCCGACTGGCGTGTTATTTGAAGCTTTGCAGTGGTTTCAGACAGACTGGGCATCAGACACTAGAAAGCACAAAAGGAATCTCCTTTTTATTAGTCTCATACATATTAATCGACACATTAACGCTAGAGAAGGGGTTTATTGCAATTCCAAATGGTATCTTTTTGGCGAATGAGCTAGTGCTGAACGAATACGAATTATTCAAAATGGTGGAAAAGAATTGAATCTATGAAGATCGTGCTTTGTAGTGACTGCAGACAACGAAAATACAGTGTTTTGGAAAGGCGCAAATTCTTTTTTTTTCCCTATTAAAATTGTCCGTATAATTTGCAGGACCGCACCTAGAAAGCAAAACTTGTTTTGTGTGTCTCTTGAAAAATTCTGGAGGTGTACTCATATAAAGACTGGTTGGTGGTAAAAACAATATCGAGTCGATTGTTTCTATTGATTCGATATTATTATAGTTATCAAATACAACTAGATCTAATCGACTATCATTTTGGACTTCTTTCTAATTTCAAACAGTATGCTGAGTTATTTGACAGCTTCTGGAACAATGAACACTGATGAATTGAACAAATATTTGAGAAGAGTTATCAATAGTAGGAAGTAATGAAAGTTATATGTGACCGTTGGTAAAGAAGAAGGCACAATAAACTGAAAAAGCTAACCGAAGAGAAAAGTAATAAGAAAAATGAAACGTCGACACTTCAAAATACCCACAAAACAGGATTCAATCATTGAATTATTTTTTTAACTCCGTATAGACAACCAGTTTTTCTGTACATTTGATGACCTTTGGCAACAATAAAATACGGCGCAGGTCTATACCGACTCGCCTGGAAAAACTTCGCCACCACCGTCGATTTTTCAACATTTATCCGTCCATAAATTGCGTTGGTCGCCAAATTAAAAACACACTAACGAACAAAGTAAGTGCGAAATGGAATTTTTTTCACAAAACCCCTCTAAATAGATTTTCGGCGGAAAATATTCATACGCGGGTAGGTTGGATTAATGGCCATTACAAATGACCGCAGAGCCGGGATGGAGGGTGTCGCGCGAGGGGGTTTGTTTTGTTGTCGATAAAGCGGGGAACTCCCCCAGTTCGGGATACGTCGGCCGTGAATAAAATTCTTCAATGGGGAGCCCGTTAAATACAGAGTACCTTCATACGTTGCGAATTATGAGATTTGTGCGTATATTACATTTCGCGTGGCAGGGTGGGTTTTCATTACCGAATTGTGTTTATTTTGGAAAAGCGGTGTTGTTCTAGCTGCTCGATGCTATCCATTTATATTCTCTATTGTAATACTCGTGTAAATAGATTAAAATTCGAATCTGCATAACTGAAATATATATTGAAGAAAAGAGAAATGAAACTTTCTATGTTTTTTGCCACTTTTATTTGTAACTAACGTTACTGCAGTTTCGTGCTATACGGACATTTTCAAACTTATACAATAAACTAACAATGATTCAATACATTCTCCATTATATACCACCCCTGTAGGTACTTAGAACAGTACTAAGAAAAAGAACAGAGATAATTGCTGGTTTCTTCAGAAAAAACAATGTGGAAGTGGCATTTAGACCACATGCCAGGTTATCTCATTTCCTTTTCAATGCTAAAGATAAGGTGGACAACTTGGAGAAATCTGGAGTGTATAAGCTTAAGTGTCCGGAGTGTAATAGTGTTTATGTGGGACGAAATTTCTAAAAAACGGTGTACTGAACATGAAAGGTCCTTCAGACTAGAAAAAAAATGATTCGACGTTTTCAAACCATTTTTTGGCATGCAACCACAAGTTTCCGAATCTAAGCGATACGAAAATTCTGCACAGAAAGGGTTGCAAACTCTATTATTTAGCATCCTTGGAAATTCACTCGCCGGTTGTGAACTATAAATTCAGGTACTCAATCAAGTCAAGTATCTCTATTTCTATTAGTACCTACAGGGGTGGTATATAATGGCTAATGTAATGAATCATTGTTAAGTTTATTGTATAAGTTAGAAAATGTCCGTATAGGAAAAAACTGCAGT